TCAGGGTTTAGGGTTTAGGGCTGGCCTCCATTACCCTAAGGTCCATGCACCCACGACTGTTCCTTTAAGGGTCTTTAAGGGTTCCTATGAGGGTACCATAAGGGTTTAGGGTTTCAGCGTCCATGTACCCAAGCATCATATACTTTGCCTTGAAGTAGTAGTCCCTATATCGGTACTTTGGGGTCAGGGTATATAATTACTCTTTGGGCACTTGGACCCTTATATGGGGTTACGGCTACCCTGAGAGGTATCACCCCTGCCACAAGTCTCTGAAGGAGACTGTCTTCATCAACCATCTACATGGGTAGTTCTCTAAATTAGGGTCCCTTTTTAGGTCCTCAATATAGTACGGCATCCTTATAAAAAGGGACCCTAAAAGGGGCCCCAATTTAGAGAACTACCTACATGAAAACGGTGAGTAAGCCAGGCAAGCTGCGCATGCCAAAGTTGCCAACTTCATCCATCTGTTTACGGACAGCACTGACATTCCTACGTACGATAGCAAGCAAAGTAAAGTGTGCCACCATCTCCAATGTGAATCTACAATGATATGGCGGTATGCATAGTTGTGACTCGTGCGTACATTGTACATACGGAGGCTTCTGCTGGATATGGGCGGATCTCGCCAATTGTCCCTGAGCAGAAATGCCAGAGCGACAATATCATGGTGGATCGGGGCAGGATAACATTTCAGCCGAGAGTTAAAATTAAAACTAAGGGTTCATAGTCCGTCTATGAAATTAACGTTCGAAGCCCCAACCCAACTGAAAACCCGGATACTGACTTCACATCTCGAGACCCAAGGCGCTTTGACCGTGAATCTTGTGAATCTGTGCAATGTTTCGTGGCAAAGTCATCTTGCATTTACGGGCCTTGGAGAGTAAGTTTCATGTTCAGGAGGTCTGAAGATGCGGATTTGGGAGCTTTGGATTTCGATATGGATGCTTTGGGACTAGCGCTGCCAGTCTTTGTGCACATTAAATTCCGTACATCCCAGTATCAATAGCCTGCTGGGACCCTTGACGTACTGCACAGCACAAGTACATAAGTATATGTATGTCTGTACCTATGTATGTATGTATGTATGTATGTATGTATGTGTGTATGTATGTATGCATGAATGTAGGTCTGCAGGTATGTGCACATTATACAATCGTAACATATACCATGTAATATGTGTATGGTCATCCTCCCTCCAGGATTTACACCCCCTGTCTTGGACTTACGACAATACGAAAGATGCTAAAGGTAAGGCTTTCATCCAGAACCGTCTCTTAGCTCATCGTAAGTCTTGAAACACTTTGCAAGAGCTAAATTGCAAACCAGGATCTGGTTGCAAAGCAGGAACCAACAAAACATACCAAGCAGCGAAAGCAAGTTCCAACCTCGAACCAGACACACTGGGCAGGAAACAGCCAAAACATTCTGAAAATCGGAACCAACCACGCCACACTGCAGGGGGAAACAACAGAGCACCGCAAGCAGACTTCAGAGCGGGGGAGGAGAGTCCACCAATCATTGCGTGGGGGAAAGAAGCGAAGGCCGGGTGGAGAGGGGTGGGGGGGTGGGGGGGGGCGGCGTAAGCGGCGTACATTACACCATGTATATCTATCTCTCTTTCTCTCTCTCTCTCTCTCTCTTTCTTTTGTTCTCTCTCTCTCTCTCTATACCTATATATATATGTATGTATGTATGTATGTATGTATGTATGCATGTATGCATGTATGCATGTATGCATGTATGCATGTATGCATGTATGTACGTATGTATACATAAATCAGTACAGTATATATATATATAGATATACACATACATGCTCTCTCTATCTATATATATATATATGTATATGTATATATATACATACATACATACATACATACATATATATATGTATACATACACAGCTCTCTCCGTCTCTCTCTCTCTCTCTATATATGTATGTGTGTGTAGACAGAAAGCTACACATACACATATTTGATCCTTTATTTGTGTTCATACATATGTATGTTATGTTATGTTATGTTATGTTATGTTATGCTATTTATGTATGTGTGTAGGTAGGCATGTATGTATGTATGTATGTATGCATGTATGTATGTATCGATATACCTTTATGTATATATACACATACCCAAACAGATGTGTCAAAATACATACGTATCCAGATCCATATCTACATCTATATCTAGAGCTAGATTTGGATATCTAACTATCTATCGTTCTAATCTATCTATCCATCCATCCATCCATCCATCTATCTACCCATCTACACGTATGCTATATTTGTAATGTATACATATATATGTATGTATACACATATGTACACACATGCACAGACAACTAACTTAAGGAATATATATATAGAGAGAGAGAGAGACAGAGAGAGACAGAGACAGAGACAGAGACAGAGAGAGAGAGAGAGAGAAAGAGAGATAGGCGCGTTTTGCGTTTCTTTGTATGTACTCAGACTCTGCGGGGCCTGGAGTCTCGAGCTTTGTTCAGGGTTTAAGGTTGAGGGCACGGTCAGCTTGACAGAATTTCGGAGTCATGAGCCATATAACCGCCAAGAAAGATCAAAAGAGGCACCAACATGGCGTGTTTTCGGGTTGATATATAATTGTGTAAACATATGAATATATATATATGTATGTATGCGTGCAATATACACATATACATTTAAAGGCGCCTTTGAAGCCTAAACCCCGAACTCTAAACCGCATAAGTCTAAAGCTTAAAGTTTAAAGCCTACTCCTCCAATATCTCCTCCAATTACACTCTCGATCATGGCGGTCTGCATTTTTGGGGGCTGAGGTCTCGGACTAGGGGGTTTATTGATTAGGGCTTAGGGTTTAGGCTTTCAGGGCTTAGGGTTTAGGATGTTAGGGTTTGAAGCTTAGGGTTTAGGATTTGAGGGTTTCGGGTCTAGGATTTTCGGGTTTAGGGTTGGTGGCTTTATCCTGTGAACTGAAGCCTGCGGTTGGTTGTTTAGGGTTTGGGGCTTAGGTGCTTATTCCTTCGAGAACGCTACGGAAGAACATATGGCACCCTCTATGAAGGACTGCGCAGCTCCTCTCAGGGTGTGCTCTACCCTAAACTAGGGCTATTTAGGGGTTCAGGCACCTAAACCCTAAACCCTAAACCCTAAACCACAAAGCAGAAGCGCGAGCCTCTCGGCAAGCTGCCATCTCTGCAGCGCCTCTGCATCTTAAGCTTGCGCCTCCTACCGGGCTTTATAGGGTTTAGGGTTTAGGGTTTAGGGTTCAGGGTTCAGGGTTTAGGGTTTAGGGTTTAGGGTTTAGGGGGGTCCGGGGTTTAAGGAATAGTGAGTACTTATAGTCTCCGTTGTAGTTCGTTGTTTTAGGTTACCTGCTAGGACACTAGATATAGAAATGGTTAAATCAAACAAAGGAACCACAATGGAGACATTGGTAGTGTACACTGATACGATTTTGGGTTTCGGGCTTCGGGTTTTGGAGTTTAGCGTAGTTCAGTGGCTCAACAGGAAACCTAACTTGACTGGCAGCCACATCGCATGTCAACTAGAGCAGTAGTAACGAGGGTCCCGAAAGAGTCGAGGCAGCGAGGCGTTCTATAAACCCGTCTATAACACCTTCTACAGAGCGCCTCACGGTTTAGGGTTTAGGGTTTAGGGATTCAGAAGCACGGCCAAGATGTTTCCCACCCAGGTACTGGCGGGATTCGGAGACAACAGGCCACTGCGTATGCCGATACAAACATGATGCGAAAACGGTGAACAACCGCGAGGGCAGACTCGCCAACAACAGTGCTGCTTCCGTGGCCTCAGAACCAGCAGTAAGCAACAACAGAACCGGCAAGTCACTCGTTTGCATGTGCACAAAACTCTAAGCCCTAAACCGAGAGTCTAAGCTCCAACGAGGCCACGGTTACTTGTACCACCATCATCCAACCCAGAGACCACACGTACGGACCGCACGTGCCAAGTTTCAACGAAGGAGTCCCCACAGATGCTCACCAAACTCCATTCGTTAAGACACTTCTACGGAAACTCTAAAGCTGTTGTATACTATACTGAACTTAGAATAAGGAGACCCCAAAAGAGTATTGGGACGTATGTAAGCTACTTCGGCTCCTGCCCAGCACCTGCTCCGCAGACCGAACACCAATGGACCCTAAACCCTAAACCCTAGAGCCCTAAACTTTAAACTCTAAGCCCTAAAACCCGGAACTTTTAAACCCTAAACCCTAAGACTCTAAAACTCTAAAGCCATAAACTCTTAACCCCTAAACCCTAAAATCCTAAAGCCCTAAACTCTTAAACCCTAAACCCTAAAACCCAGAAGCCCTAAACTCTTAACCCTTAAACCCTAAAAACCCTAAAGCCCTAGACTCTTAAACCCTAAACCCTGAAACCATAGAGCCCTAAACTGTTAACCCCAATACCCTAAACCCCAACGCCCTAAAACTCTTAAACCCTCAACCGTAAACCCTAAAGCCTTAAACTTTAAACCCTAACCCTGAAACCCCTAAACCCTAAAACCTTAAACCCATTACATCTTAAACCCCAATCCCTAAGAAGCTCTGGCCTCCCGCTGGGCATCGTTCCAGTAGT